AGGGCGGAGGTGGCAGTAGTACGGCAGATGCTGCGCAGATCTGATATCACTGGAAAAAATAATGATTCAAGCGCAAATTACCCTCCTACGCCCACCGTGCTGGGTGCGCTTGGTGGACACCGTCGCGCTCCGTGATGGCGAGCTGTCATGTGCGTGTGTGCGTGTAGGTAGGACCAGTTCCTGGGTGGTCTTGACCGTGTTTTCACGAAGATTTTCGTAGGCACACATGTGGCCGAGCCTCCTCGAAAAGTGTGTACAAAAACGAAGCGGGAAGGGTAGGCTTGATGTCGGTTCGCTTGTCACGGATTCCCAGTTTGACGTGTGATGTGAAGGTGCGATCGACATGGCGATAATTGGTAACGGAGCCAACATTGTTGATGGTGCGCTCTTACTGGGGATGGGCAAGATAGGAGGATTTATGGATTGGTTTGGTGATGGCAAAGTTCTTTGCTGGGGGTGATGCGTTTGGTAGATAATGGATCCGAGGATCGCAGCTGAGTCCGATTCCTGCTGTAAACGCCAGCTGGCACTGAAGGCATGTTAGTTGTTGTCATTACTGTCGGGTGTTTTTGGCTATGGGCCATGGCATTTCAGATGGGCGTGTTCTCCTCTTGGATTTGACCGGCCTCCACAACGGAGAGTTCACGTTGACTTGATCTAGACAGGACACCGTTGTATAAAAGAGGGGGAATAAAAAATGAGACCGATCCAGATCGGACCGAACAATTTAATTGCTCACTGTAGGTTACTAAGCAACCCGTTCATACCTTCACGACTTGGAAGGTTGCTAGTGCCTGCGTCTGGATACTATCTTCCCGACTTTTGCTTTGCTATCGAAATACGATAATTTTGGTAAGAGGGCATTGAGGTAAGTGCCGAACGAGTCTGTTTCACTTTAAGCCAATTGAAACGGAAATCATTCCTGAAACTATCTTTGTGACAGTAATGAGCTTGATATTTTGCGACTTTTGAGCTACCGTGTCGGGGCTTTTGCTTCATTGTTATGGAAGATGAACTTTTATTTCCTGCTTCTAACG